GACTCCTTCAAGCCTCTTTTATAAGGGCACTAATACCATTAATAAGGGTAGAGTCCTCATGACCAAATCACCCCTCAGTGGTCCCACTTCTTACTGCCATCACCGTGGGGGTTAGGATTCAACATATAAACTTTGGAGTGGAGGGGACACAAGCATTCAGAACATAGTGTCCTTTAACCTTCACTTAATGGTTTTAGCATTCATTGATGATCCTTGCCTGGATCATTAGTGATTTCACTAGAAATTGCCAACAATAGTTTCCAATCTCTTATCTATATTGATTGCCTGCACTTTTCAGGAAACAAGAGTTTTTCCTAACTACCTGGAGCCATCCTGTTACCTGGAAGCAAAGCAGAAAAATGCTTAATTTTTTTTCTTTAAATATCACATCAGAGAAAGGACTTGGTGTGTGATTACCAACTCCAGTGTTGACAAAAGAATTGTGTGTGTGTCATTTTCTTTTCTGTTTCTCTCTCTCTCTCTATTTATTTATCTTACAAGTTTTCACTTACTGTATCTTCCTGGTAAATTGAAACTTTTGTGATTATGTAGTGACTCTCTTCTTCCTAAAGTCAGTTTTGTCTTCTTCTCCTAAATCCCTATTTAAATAAATATTGGATAGTTACTCCAGCTTAAATTTGGTAAAGTGCTTGCTTTCTATCTTTTTCCGCCTTTTAAATTTTAATGGTTCTATAACCTGGTGTTTTGAGTATATTTCTTATAAGCAATGTCTAGCTTGTTTTTATATTTTTATCTAATTTTACTATCTCTATGTATTAATTGGTGAGTTTACCATTTATTGTGATTATTGATTATTTCTCTATACTTTTCTCCCAGTGCTCCTCTTTCTTGTTTTGAAGTTTGTTATTTTTCCCCCTAAATCTATTTCTTATTTTTATTGTTTTGGAAGTGACATACTGTTTCTGTTCTTTTGGTGGTTACTCTTTTGATCACCTAGAATTTAGTACACTTTATGTAACTTAACTTTAATCAATATTTAACTTCCCTCTTGAACAATTTAAGAACTTTAGAGTATTTTAGCTCCAATTCTCCCCTTGTTATATACATGCTATTGTTGCTTCCTATTTTAGTTAGGCTTTAAAAATTAACCCACAAAATAGATGATATTGTTATTTTATGTAGACAAAGTTTGTTTAGATTTCTCTCCAGTTCTCCCTGTTTTTCTTGCATCTCTGTTCTTCCTTTTAGTATCACTTTTCTTCTTCTTAAAGTACTTGCGTTAGCTGTTCCTTTAGAGAAGGTTTATTGGTGGTAAGCTTTGTTGTTTTTGTTTTGTTTTGTTTTTGTTTTTTTTTGAGTTGGAGTCTCACTCTGTCGCCTAGACTGGAGTGCAGTGGCCG